TGGGGAGGGGAGAAGGGGGAGAGGGGAGGTGAGCAGCCCCCGGACGGTGCTGTGCGGCACCCCCCGCTCAAGCGGGTTTTAACCAAAATCGGCGCAAGCGCCCCTAAAAAAAAAGAGAAAGAAAAAAAAAAAAAACAAAACAAACCTAAAAGGCAAGGCGCCCAGCGGGGGCGCTTGGAGGCGCCTGAAGTGGTAAGACCCTCCCGGAACTTGGGGGGAAAAAAAGGTGTTTTTTGGGAAAAGAAAAGAAAAAAGAGATAAAACCACTCAGCAAACCTGGTTGCCAAGGTCACTTGTAGCCTCCGGTGCCGGCTCTGGTCACGGTGGGGGCACGTGCCCCAGGTTTTAAAAAAATATATATTAAAAAAAAAAGGAAAATGGTTTGTTTTGAGGTCACTGCAGAAAACAAAAATGTTGATTTTGGGGGAAAAAACCGCCGGTTTTGGATATTGGGCGATGTTTGACACTGATTGATGGGTGATAACCTGGAGTGGAGTGTCTTTGTGGTGTCCCGGTGCACGAAGGGAGGAGGAAATGCCCCAAAAAAACCATGATAATGGTGGTTTTAAAGAAAAAAAAGAGAGGTTTTGGGTTTGTGCGCGTGTCGCCCCCCCCGCTTTTGGGCTGAAAAAGCCGCTTTTTGGGGCGGTGAGAGGTGAGTATCGGCGGGGGCGAGCCGCGGTTGCTTGTTTGTCTTGCCGCTGCTGTTGTGCCTGTTAACAAACTCTGCGTTTTGTGTGCTGCAGGTGTGAAAGGCAGCGAAACTTTCGCAATTCTCCGCTCTTTTTGGGTTAAAAAAAAAAGAAAGGCAGAAAAGGGTGAAAAATGCAAACAAAAAAAAAACCAAACCAAAAACGGCAAAGGGCCCCCCCCTCCCAAAAAAACCCTACAGGAATGAGGGGGGAAAAGCGACGACGAGCGGTGGGGAGGGGGAGACGCTCCCACTGTGGGGGCTCGGCTGAAAGCAGGGGGGGTGCCCCCCCTTTAAAAAAAAAAAGGCAAAACTGAGGTTTTTAATGATTTTTGGATCCCCTGGCGGGGCCAGAGAGCGCCCGGCTGCTGCGTCCAAGATGAAACGTCGCCGGCGGATGGAGACCCCCAG